GGCATCTGACGCCTCAAAAATCAAAGCTTCCTTCTCATTCCGAGGTATCTTGATCGAGATCATGCGATGTCTTCCACATTCTCGAGCTTGCTATCCATTAGTAGCTTCACGTTGCTCATTCATTAACAAAGAGTGAGAAAGTGAAAGTATGGAAGTGGAGACTCAAAGCTCGTGTTGAGTGTTTGGATAGCATCAAAACATCCTAATAGATACCAACAAGAGATAATGAGATGAAATATGATGAATAATGATTGTTCTCATGTATAAAAGTATAACTATTGCGATATGAAAACGAAAAGAGATAATTTGGCGTTTGTCTAAACATTTGATGTCAAGCAACACCCTCATTATTTGGAACCCCTTGACAGATTTCCCAAATCATGAATTCCATAATATAGTTACTCAAGCTCTTCAAAAATGTGGACAAACCTGAAATATACAGATTTTCAAGACCTACTATCATTTAAAGAATGAAAATTGAAATTTTTCACGAAGAAGTAGGTAGCTTCTTCGATTCAAGCATAATACATTTTAACTTGATACCTCATATTGAATTTTGTGTATATAGCGAATTTCAATATGTTTGTTTTGTTCGATTCAGTCTGTATCAAAATCTGAGAAGTTTATATAACCGAAGTATAGTAATTCAATGAAAGAACATATTCAATAATTCTCATTAGGTCAACCGAACATTAATGAGATTGAAGTTGAATAATTTTCATTTTATTTTCTATTTAATCATGAACCATCTATCTCCTGAAAATATAAGCGATTGTAACTCATTCGAAAAAATATTCTCCATACTATATATAATTATGACACTTTTCATTCATCTCAAATCTCCATTTAATTTCTCCAAAATCGGTATATTATCATGATCACATTAACCATCAGTATATATCTACTTGCAGTCTTTGTCTATCATTTCATTTATATAATATTTAACAGATTTTCGTCAGTCGACACGATTTTTACTTGTAATACCACTAGAGGTCAAATTATTTCCGAAAAAAATTCCCAGAAAGTAATTTGCCCTCGTGTGGTATTCGGTAAGAAAACTTCACACCAGATTGTGTTTGTAAATCAAATAATTCATTTGTTCATTCGATCTGCATACCGGTTCATGAGTATATTTAGTTTGGGTCGCAGTTTCGGCACCAATAATAGATTCCTGATTTCTCCCTATTATATTTGCTTGAAAATACTAGTTTGTGGTACACATTATATCCTTCCATTTTAAATTAACTTCGGAATACTACAAGTGCTAGGAAATTATAATTTTATCAATTAATTTTTCATAGGTAGAGGTAAGTATGGAAGTAGAGGAAGGGAAGGCGGTCGCCTAGCAAGTAGGCCTCAGTGAGCCTTTTTTGCCGACCCCTGCTGCACACGTCATATGTAGATAAAATCTCAATCAATCAATCAATTTATGCATCCTGTGGAACTCACATAGGTTATAGGACAAGTCAAATTATAGAACCTAAATATAAGTACACAGATGCATACTAATGTAAGTGGTTAACAGTTAAATAAAATAGCATCAACTAAAACAATACGAAAGCTCTTATAAATAGCAGCACTAGACATGTGACGTATACAATCATACATATGAGATTAAAATGTTAATGACATTCGGTCAAATCTAAAATTCAAAAAAATATTTTTGTACAACTAAATCGATTCTATGAATTCTTGTATTGAGTGAGGACATACATCTATTAGAACTTTTTTCAGTTGGAGTTTGGAGGCATATGATTTGGCAGACTTCTCAGATTGTGAGGAAGGAAGTTGTACAAGTACAAACCAAAGACGTGTGGTGCTATTTTGGATAATTCCAGATGCTTGAAGGGCAAGTTATCTTTTTTCCTTGTATTATGAGTATATGAGTGTCACTATTTCTTAAGAAGGTATCTCCATTGCAATGTACGTATGTCAATAGCTCAAGAACAAATATGCCAGGAACTGTTAATATTTTGTATTTGTTGAAAAAACTTCGACACGAGTAATTAGGTGGACAGCCCACAAGTCATCTTATGATGCGCTTCTGAGATAGAAAAACACTGTGTGCAGCTGGAGTGTTTCCCCATACTATAATTCCATATAAAATTCTGGAGTAGATTTCGGCATAGTAATATTTGAGGAGATGGTTCAGACTCAATGCACTTTTTAGGTTTCTTAATTGATAGCACTTAGAGTTTGAATTTTTACTCAGGTTAGTGCAATGAGTCCTAAATGACAAGGTGGAATCGAAGTACACTCCTAGAAATTTAATGTCTTCAATTGCCTCAATTGTACTATTATTTAAATTGATGTTCAGAGTTGGTGTGTTTGAGTTTTGGTGGGTATGAAATACTGTGTAAGTAGTTTTACTGGAATTCAATAGTAAGGATCTGTCAGAGGACCAAGCAGATAATTGGTTGACTGAGTTTGTGATTTTTTCTTGTAATGATTCAAAATCTTTATCTTTCAGTAGTAAGGTGGAGTCATCTGCATATAAAGTGGTGGAATCTATTTTATTCGTTCTCCTAATTCTCATTTTCGAACCTCCGTGGATTTCTGATGAAGGTCAGTATGTCCGTCCACCTTAGTAATTTGTTTTCGAATTTTAGCCTTCCATAACGCCTTGTACTGGCCCAGGTAATGATATGACATTCTATATAATAGATGCAGCTCGGGCATCAATGGGATTCTTAGTCCATTCATTGTTGATTCCAACCCAATTGGCACAAAATCACTATTTTATGACGTCCAAATATTATTCAGTCATTAAAATGTCATAAAAAAATTTTCGAATTCGTATGCTGGTGGGTATACCCACGAGAATAAAATTTCCACTAAAATACATACGTTGCCATGGTAATTATATAAAACCCAATTGAACTGTATAAAAATCACTGGTGTGGAATTTTCACTTATAATATCACGAGAGCTTCAATTATTTCCGGAAATTTTTTCGGGAACAAGAATATTTTGAAAATTCTACCGAGTCGAAGACGAGGAAGAATATTAATTGAAGCCATTAATTGATTCCACTTTAGTATTCGGTAAGAAAATTTACATGTTGATGGTTGTTTGTGATGAAATGTAACAACTAAAGTATAGTAACAACATGTGTTTTTGTAAATTTCGAATTTGCAAGTATACCTATATAATATTATATGGTAAACTGTTGATGAATGATTTTTATGCATTGACTTATAGAATGAACTCGAAATAATCTGAAGTTGAATGTAAATGTCATTTAACCTATAAACGTCAAAAAATTTCCAGTGTAATTTCATGCTCCGTCCCCCAAGGAGGAAAAAATTTCCAAAAAATTTGTTCAGTTGCTATGGTAACGATACGAAATACAGGCTTCAAATTGATCGAAAATGTTTGGTGTGAAATTTTCAGAGGAACTATCTGGTGAAATGAGTGATGAACGGTTTTATTGAATTTTCAATATTGCGAACCTGAACTTTAGTTTCATTCATTTTTGAACTTTTAACGATGAATCTTCGTATCTTCGCTTGGTATATTTATTCATTATACTGTATTACAGAGTGAATCTAATAAGCAAGAATTTTGAGGTATTACAAAGACAAAAAAATTTGTTTGAAACTACAAAGTTTTTGAAAATTCAACAAAATCTAAGTTTCATATATCCACGACAAAATATTTTGTCACCGCATCAAATGTTTTTTGTCAGTTCTCAATTCAAAATTCATTTGATGTAACTCATTAATGATTCGAATTAACAGCAGGAATTGGTTGAATAAACAAAGCATATTTTGTTCCTCTAATACAACATCTGTTCTCATGAACGATTCTGTTGATTGAAATGATTGTATCATTTCATTCAAGTGGCAAAATTTTCAGTTTTTCAGAGAGTGAATATGTTGAAATAACAATATATATTCTTCGATCAACCAAATTGTATTTAGAATTGACAAAATATTTTGCTGAATAATATTGAAAAAAATTCAATAACTGAATTTCGAAAATAATAGAAATTAGAGATCAGTTTCCTCAGTTGATTCAAGACTATTATCTTGTATACGCGTCATAAGAAATCCTAGGACAGCCTAGTATAATTATATAAACGGATGTTTTAGGTAGGTATATGTACTACCCAATCAAGGCAAACGTAGGAAGGTTGGAAGAAACGCCACCTGGTGGCAAAAATGCAACTAGATAATCATCAAACGAAATATTTGTTCGATATAATGTATCTGTAGGTTCTGTTCAACAAAGTAATTTGTTAGAAATAACAACATATATTTCTTGATAATGATGTGTTGAATCAACGAAATATTATGTCGTCATAATTAATTCAATTTTGTCGAATAGAAAAAACCTTTGATTGGTTGTGCAAAGAAATGATTGTTGACTCAACAAAATATGATGTTGTATTTATAGGTAAACCTTTGTCAAAATTAATTAAATTTTTTCGAATAAACAAAATGCATATGATTGATTGAACAATGAGATAATAGTTGGATCGACAGAATTTGTTTATTGTCAACTAAAAATGTTGTTGAATGGAATGAAACTTTTGTTCAAGTTAGCAAATATTTCAATCAAACTATTTTGTCTCTTTGAAAAGGTTGATTATTTGGAATGAACATATATTCTGTTGATTTCGCAAAATTGTGTTTGATTCAACAAAAAAAGAATGACTAAAATTATTTTGTTAGTGCAACAAAACTTTTTTTCCGTGTACGATATAGTATGAGCAACTCTGTAATAATGCCAAAAATAATAATCAATTTCTCGATTTCAAATTATGTGTGATAGAGTGGTATCCACTTGCTATTGAAAATTTATGCTACTCTATATTCACCGCGAGGAATTTGGAGATCACATGGTCCACCCATGGGAGGCTGATTATATTCCACCCATGGACGTATAAAAAAGAGTCGGACTTTGTCATTATACCAATGACTTCAGAATAAAACGTGCATTCAGACAGATATTTTATATTCCATAAATCAGTTTTCAATGATTTATGGCGTTCTCACCTTGAGATGTCCCAGCAGTTTATTAGCCTGTATGCAGAATTCATCTTCAAAGCGACGCAAGCATCCATGATATTCACAGACGAGCAGGTTCCTCGCTTGTCTGATCAAACATTTTCTGGAATGTTCGTAATTCTTGTACAAACTCCCGAAATATTTGTCAACCAAGCTTTCTACGTCGCTCTTAACCTGAAACAAAATAAATTCTTCTTGATCTAGATAGTGCGAGTAAATAAAAAAATGATAAGGAGTTCATGGCAAGCTACAATCACAATTATGGGTATGTTCCGTGAATCGACTTGGTTATTTCGGTTAGTAGTTTTCCGTTTCGTAAATATAAAATGTTCGGTTGGTTCCTGAAGAATAGTAATCTACGTAACAAGTCCGTAAAATACTGTTGTTTTGGACGAGTAGACAAAATTCTAGGCCGAGCCGTAGGCAAGTCCTGGAAGTCTGCGAGTCCAAAAAAATTGTTTTCGTAAATATCTGCCTATATCTACTAACTGCTACATTGAGAATTTCGTATGGCATTTTCAAACTCACTATCGCTGCTACTTTCGATAGTTTATTGCGAGAATTTCAACCAAACTTTCGAAAACCTAAATGTCAACAAATTTCATGTCAAACAGCTGTCAGCCGATATTTCGCTGCAATAGTAAGCATCATCTGTTTTTATCAAAACTTTATCTACCAAGATTTTCATAGTTACAGTGACAACAACGATGTGATACCTCCCGGCCTCGTCTGGTACGTACTGACTTCTCAGACTAGGCAGGAAAAATGCTATTCTCCCAAAGAAAAAGCCGAAGTTCCGTACTTGGTTGCTGAAAAAGCGGAAGATTCACTGTCACCAGAACGACCGTGGATTTTCTCTGGTGAGTTAGTTAGTTTGAGATGACGTTGACGTGTTTTGTTTTCGGTTTGATTCATCGATTTACAAATTACAACGAAAAACATTATTCCCATTTCAATTATTGCGTTGAGTTCCGATGGATTCGTTTACTGAGGTAAATTAATAATATTCGATATATTTCTAGTTTGATGACGTTTTTTCTATTTCAGGACACTTCCTTTGCTTGTGCTTACTGTGCACAAGAATTTGGGACTTTTGGGTGACATAATTGGGAATCAAATACTGGCACTACTGGCAGAGCACGAATGTTCAAAAAACGATCAGAACTATAAAGTCACCAGTAGATAACCACTGTCAAAATTGTTGGTACCGGCCCTGAAAGCATCGGTAACATCGATTGATTAACAGACCATATCATATTTTGAATCAAATAATATTCAGATGTGTACCGAATTCAGAACATTTTCAACTATCCATGATACATCTGAAGTTATTGGATTATTCTTTGATCATTGAACAGGCCAACATTTTTTGAGTGTTAATTCGAAGATCAGCGTCTTATGAAAAATCTTGTGGTAGGTGTGCTGAGGCTAAGTCGATCTTTGACTTCGTTTCGATGGAAGTCTTCTGATCAGTGATTTCGAGTCACCTGACGGAGCGATTCTTCGAAACTGGATTAATGAAAAATTATCTGATAAAAATATGATAGAGAAAACTTTTATTCTCCAACCGTGGTTCAGAACTATACTTTTGAATTGAATTCTATATGTTTCCTCAGAAAATGAATATCACCTCAAAAATATAATGTTATCAGTGTAGCTCCATCCATAAAATGATTAGATCATACTATCTTTCACTCCACATTAATTTCGAAAACAACTAGAGAATGATAAAAACGCCATTGACTTACTTACTGAAACTTTGTACAATCTCAATAAGGTAATTTCAGGGAGAATACAAGGGCTTTATGTCGATGACATTTGATTCAACGCAATCCTTATTTCTTTGATTGAAAGATGTTGATCGCGATGAAACAAATCGAAAAGGCAGCTTAAGAAGCTGAAGGCCAATTATTACCAAGAAAATCTGGAGAACAATATAGAAAAACAGTGGCAGAAAAATGTACAGAAGAAACGTACTGCTTGCATATTTCTTGGAAAAGTCAAAAAAGATTGAAGCATCGTCATTGTGGAGCATATATTCGGTGATTAACAAGAGACAATTGCAACAGACATTTCGAAGAAACATTTCTAAATTTAGCTTTCATTGCAAAGAAATGTACCTACTTTAAATCCCTAGGGATTCAAAATAACACTTCTTTCCGAAAATAAGGAATTTAAAGGTACCCTTTGAATCCCTGAAGTGCCTAAAGAATTACCGCCACGCCTGTCAATTGTCAAATTGGTTCGGTTTTCACACATGGCGGCGCTGGTAAAGTGATTCTAAACATCACTGTGAGAGAATAATTTCTTCTTGTTGGGGCATTGTCGTTCCAGATGACAACCTACTTAGGCTGTTAGTAGGCGAGAGCAATAATACCTCCTCGCACTAGGTCGCCTACTAGGTTTTCATTTAGATCGACAATGATTGGGGGTTTTCTATGGATCAATCACTTGTTGTGATGCTATGTACCAATATATGCAATATCCTTTGGAAGATGGAAATGGGTTCATGTATTATTTTCATCTAAAACTGAAAACCATTGTCCACTATCACAATATATATTTTATAGCTCTTCAATACCTGATGGGGCTATAGATAATAGATGTTTCATACCACGTCATCTGACCCAATCAAGAATCTATAGGTACGTCCCAGACAGCACTGGATATTCATAGAATATTCTCTAAATATGCTAAAAAGGAGGAGTATATTCCGAATATTCATCGATTATTCCTAGAATATATACATGCCACTGGAACATCTAAAAGGAATATTCCAAAGTGAATAGTCGGACATGTTCAGGGAATATTCAGGTATGAATCTTCCAGGAATATTCCCAACTCAATATTCTCTGTTGTATATTCATGAAATATACCCAACTGAATATTCTGTGCGGTATATTCATGAAATATACCCAACTGAATATTCTGTGCGGTATATTCATGAAATATTCTCAACTGAATATTCGGTGGTGAATATTCATGAAATATTCCTTGAATATTCCTTTGTTTCTCAACACATTAATACCATATATTATTTCAGAGATATGAGTATCGAACATCAATTAGATGTAAGGGGATTTTGAAACAAAAAGTGTTTATGATCCGATTACGAACAATGCTCTCACAAGAACTTGATATGTATAACATTATTCAATTCGATTACTGGCCTAGTGGTCAAGGCGTTGCTCTGATAGTCTTGAGGTCACGAGTTCGATCCCTACTTGGGTCTCTTTTTTTAATTTTAGAATATGTTTATTGGAATATTCCAGGAATATTCAACATGGAATATTCTTTTGGGTATATTCTATGATTATCTGAGGAATTCCCATTCGCATATTTAGAGAATATTCCACAGATATTCCGGAATATTCCAGATTATTTCAAGGATATTCCAATATTCCAAAAGGAATATGATAGGGAGATTCATGGAATATCTGGTGCTGTCTGGGGTGATACTGATTCATTTTGCCCTCATCACCCTTTGGAGACCTTTTCGTTTGTCATGGAACCGGTAGCAAGAATAATAATCCTGTGGTTTACTTAAACTAATGGCGCACTGAAATATAAAACTCGAGATAATCCAAGCAACATCGCAATCATTCAATTATCCCGTAATGAATATCGTCATTATCATCGCCCATTATGATAACCATCATTTAGCATAGCAATAATTAATTAATTCGAAGAACCCACAGACACACCTTCATAGACATTGACCAAATGGCACTCTTGAAATACAGCAGAACCGAAGCGAATCGACAGATGATGATTATGAATCTACCCACGCTAGATCGAAATTCGTTGAATATTATAATATGGCGCTTGCTGTGCCCATTTTTTTTTCAAATGAGGTGTCGTGAACGTGAACATTAGGGCAATTGTTTGCGGGTTCCATCAATGGAACCGAGTGGTCCAACAAACAGGGTTCTATGACACCAGATTCATAAATTTGTGGATCTATATTTTTATAAGAACATTGTGAATACAGTTTGAGGAGTGAGACGTGATCCTGGTAGGTTCATTTATGGTCATTGCCAAAATTCCGAATTAGTTTCGTTGTTGAAATTGCCCATATTGAGTACTTTGAAGTTTAAACCGACTTTCAAAAATATAGCTACACCACCGTGCCTGGTTTATCTCCTGCAGAAACAATGAAGATGCAATGAAAACCCAGTAATCTGATAAACAAAGTAAAATAAATGTATTCTCCAGTACAAACATTTCCAATTGTTGAAGTTTGTTGGATTAACACAGAATATTATTATGGAAAATACTCGCCATGTTTTTGGAGTTTAAATCAATGGTACAACTCTGAGGTTCTAGAGCAAGTGGTGAAAAAAAATGTTTCACAATGCAAATACACAAAACATCGTTATTCATAGCTAGGCTGCATAAGACCATGAAATATTCTGCCGATGAACCAGATATCAGTGTAAACATACAAGATGAAGGCTCATAAGTGAGTTCTTTCAAATTGAACTTTTACTATGGAACTCAGTATGATTTTCCTCTACCTATGGGATACAGTTTGTTAGTTCGGATCATTTATATTATAAATTCGCCTTCAATGACACTATACTTGAATAATGATCCAGATAGTATGCTAAGAACGTCGATCTGACAGAGATTTCACATATAATTCTTTCATTGTCATCCTGAATTCGACTTCCAGTCTATAGGTGTGAAGACAAGAAGGTGCTATGGCAGAATGGCCGAAAATAATAACTCAAATGTGATTCCTATTGATATATTCATCTTTTATGGCCAATGTAACAATAATGTCAGCAGAACATGCCAGGAGTTGTGTACTGAACGTGAAGATGTTTCCAACAAATCGTTGATATGGAGTAGAAACAGTGTTGGAGCTAGAATTGATCCTTGCGGAACACTAGCATTTATGATGATAGAGTCAGATGAAACTCCGTCGACCACTACATGGAGAGACCTGTTTGAGAAAAAACTAGCTAGCAGAGAACATAGCTTGGGAGACAAGCCATAAGATGGAAGCTTGGCAAGGAGTCCGTGGTGCCAGACTCGATCGAATGCCTCTTGGAGATATCAAGTGCCACGGCTAAGGTTTCACCATATTTTTCATAACCATTCTGGACACCCTGTATACAAGCATCAATGTATTGAAGACAAATTCATAACTTTCCACTTGTTTGAAATAT